CCTGCTGGCCTGCCGACAGCATGCTACCAAAGCTTCAAGGAAACTTAGGCAATTTTTCATGAAGCTATCTTTGACATCGGGTCCCTAATGAAATGAAACAGTCAAGATTAACTAGACCCACTAATTACATAGTTAAATACTGACTACAATAGATAATAAACAATAAATATCTCTTTTCCCACAGCAAAAAATAAGCATCATGGACATAAATACACTTCTTTTTCTGGAGTTCCCCCCCAAAACATCCATCCTCGAGATGAACCTGCTTCACCACCATGTTGACACCCCTTCTGTGGGCAGGGGTAGCAAAACCAGAACTACCCTCTGTAGCCAGAACATGGGGTGCCCGTAGTGCTCCCTTCAACCCATCAGCAGGGGGTTTCTGCCCCAAGCCTACAGACTGCTCCCAGTTAAGGGAAAACCAGCCTTTCCCATGTATCACCACGTTGTACTGGCTGCTATGGGCTCCTTAGGGAACTAGAGAACCTATCACAGCAGCCAGAAATCCATGGCAACCTGTGTTTGCTAACCATAAAAATCACCCTTCTCCAGAAGCAGAGCTCTGTCTGAAGTAACCTAAAATCCCTTAGGGTAGCAACACCACTGAAAGGACACGGCAGGACACGTTCCTGCCACCAAGGCCCTTTGTCGCTTCACAGTGTTGATGGAAAACCTTGCTCTAGAAACGGGAGAAAGAGGAGATGTATGGAAATCATACAGATGTTGGTCTCAGTGGTCGGAGTGCCTCAGAGCAGACTTTCTTCCTCCAGAGCTCCCTACACTGCTGTGGGTATAAGCAATGCCCACCTGGCCAGCAAGCTCCCATTTAAAACAACCTCCCTTACACAGCAAGCTTGATTTTCACTGCTGACCAACCAGAGTGTGCTCTAGCTAACAGTGTCAAGTCCTCTCTGGGTCTCCAGCTGAGACAAAGCTGTCAGTAAAGTCACACGAAGGTGCACTGTGTCCTGTCCCCCCACGGCTGTTTGAAATAAGTGTCATTAAACCAGACAGATGTTGGCTCTGTGTCTCAGCAGGCACTAATTTAGCCCATACAGAGTACTCATACATCATTTGTTCTGAGCACAGCTTAATTGCAAAATTAATTATTTTCCTATCAAACAGAGTTGTAGAAGAGGGGAGCCACGGGATTTTGTAAGCGTGATGGGTGATAATGGGATTTGAATAAATACAAACAACTTTGACTCCTGCCTGTGCTCAGGACCACTAAGAGAGTAGTGCCGTTGGGCAGGAAGCACAGCAGCGGGGAATGGGGCACAGCTGTCACCAAGAAGGCAGGGGTGCAAGGTCCCATCCGTGCTGCTGCAGAGCACTGGAATGGGGTCTCCATCCATGCCAGGATGCCACAGCAGAAACAACAGGGCTGTGAACTGCAGATTGTACCTCTGCCTGTCTCCAGTACACCCCAGCGGCTGCAGGAGGCCTCCAGGACACGCTGCCAGTATCATGGCAGGCCTTTCATCCTTCCCGCAGGGGGCCAGCAGGACCATGCAGAGCTGGGGCAGCCTCTCCAGCTCCTTCACCCTATCCCACTCCAGACGTGGCTCTTCCCCATGACACACCAGGTAGCTATGCCCAGCATAGAGCTGGCATGGCAACACAATGGCACCTGACATGGGGGTGAGGAGAGGGGAGTGTGGCTATCACCGTGGCATCAGGCTGCAGCTGCTCTGTCCAGTGGTACATGACAGCTTGTCTTCAGACTGCTTCACACCAGATGGTGCGTGGTTTGCGTCTCAAGACATGCTCATTTGGTTTGTTCTCATTTCTGACCCTATCTCAGGGGGTTCGCACACAAGCAGAATTAACAGAGTAAGATGCCGCCCTGAACACGTAACTTCCCCTATGACAGGGCAAACCAGACCTGGGTTTTAATTGGAGGGTATCCTACTGAAGTTGCCTGCATCCTCAGGTGATGATGGAAGTGAAAAAACATGGATAGGACCAAAACCGTGGCAAGGGGCAGACACAGCTGGAAGTTGTGACTGTCTGCAGGAACCCTCACTCCTCAACCCTGACAGCCACTCCAGCATGGTGCCCACCACGTAGGCAGGGCTGTGGTGAGCAAATTGCCTCCAAATCACACAGAAATGAGCAAATTGATTAGCGGTCATAAAACTGCACAGTGACAAATCCTTACCTGAGCAAGAGGGACACCAGATGCCTAGGTCATGCCTTGGGTTGTGGGCCAACAGAGTGTGAAGTCTGGAACAAATCAGGTCACCACTGCTCCTGCTGGGCACATTTGCTGAAGTACAGCCTTTGGGCAACCACCGGGCTGAGCTCAAGTCGCGTTAAAGTCTGTTACTAGCACAGAAGAGGTAACAGACCTCAGCTCCCCATCACTAAAAGGGGCACCTGAAACATTTACTTCATGAATGGATGAAGCTGCATTATGAAAGGACAAAGCAATGACTACTGGGGTGTCTTTAAAAAATAAGAAGTCCTGAACACAGCTCATTTTGAGCTCCGACAGGAAGTCTGTGAACTTGCACACGTTTTTTTGTTTTGGTATCTCCTTTAATGCCTCAGGCTTGTTACGCATCCTGTGATGGCTGTTGTATTGGACAGCATCTCTGAGTCTGGGAGTATCTGACTTAATAAAAACCACCTAAGCGGCAGCACCTACTGCGGGACTTCGTTGTTTTGGGAGCTCTTTGATCCTGAAGAGATCAGCGAGGCTCTGGGCATGCAAGCACTGCCCTCAAGTGGCATGAGCCGCGCAGGACCTTTCAGGAAGCTCCTTAGCGGAGCAAAGGTGCAGGCAGAGGCAGAGGCCTGCTTGAACGCAGTTGAGCTGTGCGAGGAACAAGGGAGACCGTTTAAAGGTCATGCAGAAATTTACCTTTCAAGAACCGAGCCCAGGAAGCGGTCAAGGGACGGAAAAGGCACACTTTGCCCAGGGATAAAACTAGGGGCTTGCTTGGCAAACAGGCATCTTCTCCAAGGCCAAAGCTTCCTCCGAACCATGGTGGCTGATGCGGCGTCAGGTCAGCAGCAGCCCATCATGGGTTACCAGCAGCCTGCGCCGTCCTCCAGCACTGTTCCTCAGTGGTCCCACCGCCAGGTCCCACCACAGGGAGCAGCAACCCGAGAGCCAAGATGCAGCTCTTTGGCCACATCTGAATGCAAATGCCCAGCTCCAGTGCCCATGTAAAACAACTGGGTGTCCCAGCATGAATAAGGGTAAAAAAATGATCCTAATTTATTCTGCTTTTCTCCTTTATTCTGCAGTCTCTCCTTTGGCTCCCATGGCGTTTCCTGTTTTAACTATAGGGAGCCAGCAGGAACCCTTGAGCAAACAACTAACAGCCATTTTTTCAGTTATTGGGGTAGTTGAAACATTCTTGTACAGCCCTGCAAAGACAAAGGGTGAGAGTGCTTCAACATTGTCATTTTAAAACCCTAAGCTGCACTGAGCTTATGGGGGAGAGGGTTCTAGGTGCTGCTCAGACACTGATGCTTTGTAACAGCTTAATTGTCTGACTTGACCCTTCTTACATCTTCTGACAAAACTCAGCATACAGCCAAAAGGCAAACATGGTGACAACGAGCATTTCCTTAAGAAGGCCACTGATCTGCAGGAAAAACAAAATGAAGGAAAGGATAGAAAGAAGGAATTGGTGAGGACTTTGCTCCTGTGTTTTCTCCTAGTTCGTATGGATCTGCCCATGTCCTACTTGAGCATCCCTTACTTGTGGCTGGAAAACTTGTACGTGCCAAAGGGAAAACAAAACTTATGCAGTACTGCAGCCACCTCCTCCTGCTTGCTTAGCCAAGGCCGCAGCAGTGAGGCCAGGCAGTACCACAGAGACATGGAGGTCTCCAGGCACCACCTGTGGTTTACGGGAAGGGCCCGTGTCCCCAGGCGTGGCAGTGTGGTGCTCACAAGGGTGCAGGAGAAGCCATGGACATGGACTCGTGGAGCCGCTGGGAGCTGCTCTGCTGTGGGCACTGCTCCTCCCTGCCCAATGGGGAATGCCTGCTCTGGGCTCCAGGGTTGTTGTTGATGCTTTCTTGCCCGGCTGCCAGCCTGGAGAACAGAGTTCCCAACCAAAACAAGAGCAAGTGGACAGAAACAGGGAGAACAGCTCCAACATTCCTGCCTGCCGCCAGCAGTGCTTTGAGAGCAATGGGGCTGGGGAGGCTGAGCCTGCCAAGCTCCTCAGTGAATGGCAGTGATGCACACATTACTGCAGCATTATAATGCCCTTCAGCAAACAGATTGAACTCAGCCAGATAGCAGCTCACCTCTGTGGTTAAAATCCCCTCCCCAGTCCTGTAACACAACTGTCATATAACAACTTTGCCATCTACCCAGGCTTTTAGAACCAAGCTTTATATTCTGCAAGCAGAGGACAAGATTTACCAAGGGGGAAAGACTTTCTTGAAGCAGAAAGACCAAAGAGAGCTGTTAGTCACCAAGCTCAGCCAGGAAGGGTTGGAGCAGCAGGTAATCTCACTGAAGCCTCCTACAGCCACATCCACAAGCATGTAAGGTAACAGCATCCACTTTGCTCTAGTTTAACATGCTTAGCTCTTTTAGAGTCCTGCACCAGACCTAGGGGTTGGCTTAGGTTGATTTGAAGACAATAAATGCCTTAAATGAAAGCAAAACCTGCAGAGGAGCAGTGGGGAATGCACAGAGCTCACCTGGAGCAACTGAAGTGTCCTGGGTTCATCAGTAGCAGTCATTTTTCTCCGTCGCAGTACCTGGTGCAGTGCTGTGTTTTTGACTTTCGGCCTGAGAGCAGCATTGATAACACTGATGTTTTTAGTTGCTGCTCAGTAATGTTTACTCTGACCAAGGACTTTCTGAGTCTCATGCTCTGCCAGGGAGGGGGGGAAGCAGGAGGAAGCAGGGACAGGACACCTGACCCACAAAAGGGTATTCCATACAACAGCACGTCATGCCCAGTATATAAACTGGGGGCAGTTACCTGGAAGGGTTAGATCACTGTTTGGTCGGGTTGGGTATTGGTCAGCAGGTAGGGAGCAGTTGTATTCTCTTCCCTTGTTATTTCCCTTATCATTATTATCATTGGTGGTAGCAGCAGTGATTTGTGTTACACCTTAGTTACTGGACTGTTCTTATCTCAACCCATGGGAGTTACATCCTTTCGATTCTGCTCCCCATCCCTCTGGGAGCAGGGGGGAGGAAGAAGAGGGGGAAGTGAGTGAGCATCTGTGTGGCTCTCAGTTACCGGCTTGGCTTAAACCATGACATGGAGGAACAATCCTCATCAGCCACCAAACTGATCCCTCTTCCTGCCCCAGCACCAGCTGCCCAGCTTTGTTTCCCTGCACACCAGAGTACTGAATGCATGTTGTACTGTGCATCCTTGTACTGAAAGCACAAAGCAGGTACCAGTCTGGGGTGAGTAAAAGCTGCCTACTTGGCTTTGCCAGGAGAGCTTGGGTGATGACTGCACTCCTGGCTGGATCATGGTGCAGAGCACTTCAGGTCCTGAAAGCACAGATTTGCACTGCAGAGGTTGGTTGAGGCAGAACATGCCCTCAGCACTAACGAGGGAGCAACATTTCAGATGTTGGTAAGGCTTGAAGAATGCATTCCTGTACACACTTTATGCAGTGGCAGACTTACCGCATCAGGAAAAGAGACCTGAAGGCCCCTAAGAGTTTACTAGAGAAATCAGTCATCCACGGAGGAAGTTTCTTCCAAGCCCTCCTATTGAGAGATTTATTTATAGCCAGAAGCACAAGCATTTTATAACCCTTGTTGAAAATAAAGTACCATGGATGCATCATATTTTTAAGCATTAGCCTCAGCAGTATCTTGTGGATGAGAGTTCTTTTGGTTCACTCTATGAAGTGCCTGCCTTTACCAGTGTTAAATGAGTGTCCCTGTTGCTCTCACTAGCTATGTCCTCATTCTCATGGTAAGAGCAGATGCTGGAAGAGGTGGGGAACCAGAGCACAACACAAACTGCACAACATATTACTGAAGCGAATGGGGTTCACAGCTGATTGCTGAAACATGGGTTTATGTTTCAACAGCTGCTGAATGATAAGAGCGGTGGCCTGGAAGAAAAAACTCATGTTTTGCTTGCATTAACTGGATGTTATTTGGACTCGTGAATCAACCCCTCCCTCTCCTTCCCAGCCACTTACAGAAGGGACCTCTAAACCCTTCATCAGGATGAACAAGATCAAGGGAGCTTTTGAAAGCCCAGAGTTTTGGAGCCCAGGTCACACACGGAGCACCCCCTTGATCAGTGTGGCACCACCATTTGCATTTGGCTAGCAGGCCATGGACAAAGCCCCGAATGCAGTCATTATTGTGGCCCTCTTCATCGTCATGGTATCTCTGGGGTGTACAATGGAGATAGCTAGGATCACAGCTCACCTCAGGAAACCCAAAGGAGTGGCAACTGGGGAACAGCCCAGCATGGCATCATGTCCTTGACAGCATTTGTGCTGGGCAAGCTGGGTGCTACAGAATCCCTGGCCATCCTCATCTGTGGTTGCTGCCCATGGGGGAAACCTCTCCAACATCTTTAGTCTGGCACTGAGAGGGGACATGAACTTCAGGTAAGGAAAGCTGAGTACGTGCTCATTGCCCAGGCCAATATGACTGGATCGGAAACTAACTTAATCAACATTAGCCACCTCCAAGAAGCTGGGCAAAGGCTGAATAATGAAGTTTAGACTATTTTTAAAGAACCCATATTGCTGAATAGGTAAACTTGTCCCTGTTTTACAACAAAATGGGATTTTCTACCTTTCTCTGAAGAATATGGCTTGCTGCTCCTGATGAGATGAGTGCAGGAGCACTTTTTAACCTCCACATAGCAGTACAAACATCATATACATGTTATATTGATCCATATAGCAACATATAGTTCTGTGTAAGCGGAACACGCTGCCTGAAGAGGCTGCATCAGTGAGCAATGTTGAACAAGCAGAACACCACTCTCCAACAAACTCTAGTGATAAAACAAAATCCAGGGAGAAAACATGAAGCATCACTTTCTCTGTCACTGGTGAATTTCTGAGACATGAGCTGTACCCACAACAAGGGTCCTGTCTGAGTTTGTGTAGAACTGGAGTTATCTGCTCCTTTATTCATATCACATCCTCCTACAACCTGACAGTAATGTTGGTGAAATCTCAGTGGCAGGTTGGGAGAGAACAAGGTAAAGCCTTATATTAAAACCATGTCTCCAGGTTATCAGGAAAATCTGCATATTCAACTTTAAAAGTGTCATTCTTCTACTGAGGGGTCCTTTCTTCATCTCAGCATTGTAATGACCTCATGTTCAATGCTCCTGGCAATTAACTAATGCCTCTGCTTCTGTACCTTTACTCGGGAGGACTATATGAGGGTGATTTGGAGGGCAAGATACCTTACAAAGGGATAATCACATCCCTGGTGCTGCTGCTAATCCCCTGTGCCATCAGCATCATCTTGAATAAGAAGAAACCACAGTACACTGGCTTTATCATCAAGGTAAAAAGTATCCTGTGCTAGCTGCCTTTCAACTGAGGGCCTCAGGAAGTTTTGAAAAATAGAAGCATGGAAATACTAACTTCTCTAAGGCACACCACAAATCAGTGAAAGGGTTGGACAGAATCAAGACATCCACTTCACCTCTTTAGTCATTAAAATGTTTGCCCAAAAGGAAGTTCTCCACCTTTTCCAGCCAAAAAACATTTTGCAAGCAACTTCCTACCTTGCTCTCCTTTGTTGGCTTCAGTTTAACCTTCGTTTTTGTCCTGGGTTCAGCAGTAGCAGTCATTTTTCTCCTTCTTAGTAGCTGATGCAGCGCTGTGTTTTTGATTTTGGGCCTGGGAACAGAGCTGGTAACGCTCAAATGTTTGGTCTGGCCAAGGACTTTGTGAGCCTCATGCTCTGCCAGGGAGGAGGGGAAGCCGGGAGGAAGCAGAGACAGGACACCTGACCCAAACTGACCACAGAGGTATTCCATACCACAGCACATCATGCCCGGGATGTAACTGGGAGTTACCCGGAAGGGCTAAGAGACTGCAGGGTTGGAGGAGGTATTGGTGGGTGCTTGGTCAGGCTGGGGGGGGGGGGGGGGGGAGTTATCGGTCAGCTGGTGCTGAGGTCTTGTATTCTCTTCCCTTGTTATTTCCTTTATCATTACTATTATTGGTGGTAGCAGTAGTGATTTGTGTTATACCTTAGTTACTAAACTGTTCTTATCCCAACCTGTGGGAGTTGCATTCTTTTCAATTCTCCTCTCTGTCCCTCCAGGAGTAGGGGGAAGGCAAGAAGGGGAGGAGCAAGTGAACGAGCTGCCTGGCTGGGGTTAAACCACGACAGTTCTCTTTTGCTACAAGCAGCACTAATGAACCTCATAGACACTGTCTCCCACTCCAGTCAGAACCAAAGCAGACCCCAGATTAAACACAAAACCAAAACCAAAACAACCAACCAAAACCCCCACCCTGCTGTTCTCAAGAGGTCTAGCACAGGGCAATAGTGACATCCCAGTTGGTGCTTACATCAAAGAGATATCTGTCCAGCAGAAGCCACTAAATCGCTATGCGCCTACTTATGCCTGGAATCATCTCCCTGCCTCCTTTGTACATCAGGCATCTAAACAGCAAATAGAAAACCCAGACATCCAACTACACCATAGTCTACCTTGAGAGCTCCACTAGCAGTATCCAGACTGCTGCTAACAAACAACTTTGTGAACCTGGTTTTCGTAGGTTTTTTCACTGAGGCTTCATTTCAGAGAAACTAGGACCAAGTATGGCAAGAAATGGATGCCAAGACTTAGTAACAGACCTGACAAAATTATGTTAGGAATCACTAATCTTTAACAAGCGTGGGAACCCATGAGTCAGGCTAGAGCAGATGTAGGAGGACCAAAGCTCTTCAAAGGTCCCTTTACCCAGCACAGGGCAGTGACGACTCGACTGTTTCAAAAGAAGCTTTAAAAGCCTATCATAACAAGGCAACCTACACTGCCCCAGCTGACCCTTGGGTCATGTTCCTTTCTGCTAACACCAGCTTTCCATTTATCTTCTCTACAAAAGAGGGAAGGGGTAGAGACTTGCTTTTAAGAAACACCTGAAAACTCCATCCAAATGGGACTCCAAAGTGGACAGACATGCAGGAGAGCTGTATATTCTGCCTCCCAAAATTCCCCAGCTCCTTCATCTGCCATGTCACAGGACACCAATGAGACAATGTGAAAATATAGCTGTCACGTTCCACATGTGCTGTAGGCGGGCTCTACCTGCAAGTGAAGCAGTTTCCTCCCTGCCTGCTTTGGGTGGAGAAGACTCAAAGGGGATGTAGACAGAGACACGTAACAGTGCCTGAGAAACAAGTGGCTGGGGGAGGAAGCACTAGCCATTTTGCATATAGACCAGAAATGTACTTAGTTATTTAAGGTGTCTGTAGGTAATACCTCAGAATGGTCTCTCGTTGATTACTAACATTTATATCCATCAAAAACACTTACGCATTCTCACTTATACTTACATATGTGAGGGACAGAGAACCGGGCACAGCTGCTTCCAGCAGGTGAGGGAAGTTTTGCTGGGGATTTCTCTCTTGTCCATGACTTGACTGCTTTTATTTCAGGCAGGGATGGTTCTGCTGCTAGTGTCATCTGCTGCAATAATTGTTCTTTCTGTGGCCAATATGGGAAGCAATATCATGGTTGTCTTCTCACCATCCCTCCTGGGATCTTCTGCCTTGATGCCTTTTATTGGATTCCTGCTGGGCTATGCTCTCTCTGCAGTCTTCAAGCTTAATGACCTGTATGTTCCTCCAGTCCCCACTTCCCTCACTCTGTTGCCAGAAGGAACAGATGTATGCCAGCTCTGGTCTACGGAGCAATGGTGAAAATGGGGGTTTTGACACAGATGTAATTCTGAAGGATAAACACGGCAGTCTCCCAAAACAGGCCCTAGGAGTATAAGCAGACACACTGCACACTGGTCCCAAGTCAGTAACACCCAAACCTTGAGCGGGGAGAGAAATCAGTTCAACCTCTGCTTGGCTCATCAGAGAAGAGAGGAATAGCTGGAGCAGGTTTATTTAACACTGGTACCTGACCACCACAGAAGGGATGGTAGGCTCACTGAACAAGCAGATGAATGGTTTTGACTTAAGGTCACTAGTAATGTGCTAAATACACACTACCAGCCTCTGATCTTGGTAATAAACTGGGGAAATACAAGAATTAATAGCACCACACAGAAAATCAGCTAATTGGGAAACACCAACAGAGACAAAACCTCAAGTTTTCTTAAACACAACTATTCTTAAGCTGGTAACTACCCCAAGCCTGTCAGTGGTTTCTGCTGCAGCCCCAGGAATTCAGGATGGAAAGCCCGCATATAAAACCCACTCCTTCCCTTTCTTATCCTCCTAATTCAGGTAGGAAGCCCCCTAGTCCTCACCAATTTCTGCCTTCACACCTTAGACTTCTCTTTTCACCTGGGAAGGAGATTACTTTCCAACAGGAAGTTGCAGAGCCCAGAGCAGGACCTAAGGCCTCCAAACACCATTAAGCACAAAGTCCACACTTACAATGTGATCTGTCTCTGCCCATTGCAATGGGATCATGGGGCAATCTCTTCTAGGGATTCCAGTATTGCTCCTGATAAAGCAGCTTTCAGCAGAGACAAATGCACAAAGCATTGCAGCAGCAAGGTGGGCAGGGTTTATTTGAAGTTGTTTGTAAGTGGATCCAATCTGTAACCTGCTCAACTTTTCCTGCCTCGGATGCAGGTGGACAGTGTGCATGGAAACGGGCTGCCAGAACATTCAGCTTTGCTCTACTATCCTCAAGGTTGCCTTTGCCCCAGAAATCATTGCCCCCCTGTACTTCTTCCCACTACTCTACTTGCTGTTCCAGCTTGGAGAAGGACTTCCGCTTATCCTGGTCTTTAGGATCTATGACAGAATAAAGAGATCAAGTGGCAAGTACAGCTTTGCTGCTGCATTTTGTACACTTTCCAGTCCAAACTGCATACATTTAAAGTACAACTACCAATGAATCACTGCCTTTTAGAGGCAGCATCCAGTCACCTTTTAAACTCAGGGTTACCTACTCAATACATCAAATACAAATCACAGTCAAAAATTCAGAGGTAACTGAAGACATTAGAAATTACGACTTCTTGCATCATCAGAATGTTTCATATAGCTGTATACTATCAGTGCTTAGAGACTTTCTGAGGCCTGTGCTCAAACTAGGATGGACATCCTGCTAAAGCTATGACTTGCACTGAGCACATGCAAAGAACTAGGGTGTTTATATGGAATAAAACTACACGAGAACATTAGACACTTTTTAATGCCACAACAGTTTGTAGCAAAGCTGAGATTTGAGAGGTTCACTGAACAGTGTCACTTTTGGAGTAGGAAGAAGAGGACAGAACTGCCAAGTACTGCAGCTGAAGGAAGGAAATATTTGGATCTTTTGCTAGCAAAGTATATAAATAGAGTCCAGTTTAATTAAAATACGGCATTAGTACAGATGTGAGGTAGACTTGCCCAACTTCAGCAGGTCCACAATGCCAAAGCCCAGCTGAGTGTCAGTGAAGACTGGAGAATGCACTGCTGCATGAAGTCTTCCACAAGTCAGCCTTCTGATGCTTCCAAACCAGCTTTCTCTAGTCCTTCGGGACAGCTGAGCAGCTGCTACAAGAGCCTTTTACCTGCTATTCAGCGTCATGCTGAAGGATGACTTTTAATGGAGAAGAAGAACCAATCTAATCAGTTTGGATCCTCAGTTGTGCCTTCAGTGCAAAGCAGCTGGTATTGGAAACCACCATACAGGTGCTTGCAAGACTGTTAAAAAAGGGTGGCTCTCCAGGCTCTGAGATACAATGGACTGAAACAAAATGGCTTAAGTGTTTTGGCAGGACTTCCAAGGTCCTCATTCTGCTTCAGATCACGCAGCAACACCAACTGCAGCTGTGTCACAATCTTTCCATAACTGGCTTCAGAACTGCCTATTCTCATGACGGATTTTCTTCAGGTGCAGCAAACCTGCTCTGTGCTGGTATGAATACAGTTGGTGCTCAAAACATTAAACCAGTGTTAAGACCCTGCAGAAACAGTGGGAAACCAGGAAAACAGTACAGATGTACTCTGCAGCAGCTGCTATCACAACCTCTCCAAACTCCACCACCTGCACCCGGCTTACAGGTCTCCAGCAGTTCTGTGTAAGACACTTAATCTATATGCTTGTTTTCTGCCTGACAAAGGGATTGCCACAGAGCTGTCTGCACCCTCATTGTTATTTCCCAGAGGTCTGGCTCCTGCCTAAGCCTCTCTTTGCCTGCCTATGAGGGAGACCTCCAAGTCATCATAACAACCCTCTGAGAGAGCTCCGGGCCACGCTCCCAAGTGACTGCCCCAGTTTTGTACATATGAAAATCGTTGCCCACATTAGTTCCCTTTTTTATGGTGCATGTCTGAAGCAGTTCCTGAAGGCATTGCTGAAGATTAATTTCTGTAATAAAGACCCAAAACGAGGTGTCAGTCTCTTGGTGAACAGCCAAGACCCAGTATGCAGCTGAGCAGCCTGTGGACTGCTGGTCACTCCCAATTTCCAAACCCTGAGCAGGGCACAGTGTACCACAGCAGAAGCCACAAAAACTGAACAGAGCAATGCAAACCGTCTTGGCACGTTGAGTTTGGATCCAGCAAGCCGTGATGAACACTGAATGTGCCTCGGTCCATAGAACTAACATACCAGCTGTTCAGGACACCATCTAGCTACCATCACCCAACAAGTATGAGGGAAGACTCACATTAACAGTTGCAGTGTTGCTGGTATGAAACTGAGGCACCAGAACAGGCTGTACAGAGAAGCACCGGATGCCCCATCCCTGGCAGTGTTCAAGGCCAGGTTCAGTGGGCTTTGAAGCAACAGGAGTTGGAACTAGATGATCTTTAAGGTCCTTTCCAACCGAAACCATTCTATGAATCTATGAAATACGCACCGTAACCTAGTGTAATCCATCTTGACTAAGAACAAACAGGCTTGTTTATTAGTAGTAAATGCAGAATAGATTTCTGGCCAGAATTTAACCTGTTTTAAACTGAAGTTTTGAAACAGCAAGCTCCCCAGGTGAAATGCAGACACATCTGTTCATGCTGCTTACACGGCAAGCAGCGTGGTCAAAATGGAATTCAGAATATTCATAGAGCAGGTAGCACTTCATATTTAGCCTGAGGGAGGCAAGTGTCTGAAATCCCACCCCACTCCAATCACCAGGTGCCTTCAGTCCCCTGGGTTCCATTTGGAGCCAAGTTCCATGACACACATGATCCTTCAAGTAAGCAGGAAAGATCTACTGACTTTGAGATGACACAGCTAACTTTACCCCTCATACTCACCAGATGAGCCTCAATGTTGCCTCTGCCCTTAGGGGCTACACCCCTCTTCTACTACACCTCCTCAGGTGATCCAGCAGCCAAACCAGGATACTGCTGAGGGTGAAGCCTCCCACTCTCCAACGTTGCCTACTAACAATCCAATTAACCATCCATCAGTCCAAACCCTTCCCCATGCCTGCCCCCAGGAGTGCGTGGCAGTTTGATACTGTGCTGCCCTGACAGATCACAAAACACAAAGCTCCGTCTCTCTCACCAGCCTGGAACACGAGACCTCTGCAACAGACACCAAGCGAGGAACCTCCCTGAGGGGAACCACCCTGCATTTCCTAGCACCTTAATCCAAAGCCCAGCCTAGGCTCCAAAGACATTTGTAAAGCTTTTCATGGATTACTACAGTAGTTTTGCAATTTTTTTTTTAATAAATTCTAAAGCTCTTTCTTGTAGCTTGTGTGAGGGCTTGAGAAGCACAGGGACTGCAGTTACTGCCCCTGCAAGGCACAAACACTGAACCACAGATCTCCAGGGTACCACTGCTGCAGTACTCCCACCCACCAGCTCCAAAGTCCCTCCCCTTCCTCCAGAACAAGGACTAACACCTATGAAAATGCTTTACCCCCACCTCACTATTCCCTCATACACGCGCACAAAACACACCAATGCCTATTATCCGTAAGTCATTAAAACCTCAATGACTTGTCCATTCCATTTTTTACTACTGTCACAGTAGGATTCTCCTTATACCCAAGGTTATTTCAGTATAGAGACATCTAAGTACATGGCACAATGTATATAAAAGTAAGTTACCTCCTCCCCATACATCACTTCGCTGCAGACCCATCTTTGAGAAGTATTTTCACACTGTCCAACACAAGGCACATTCTCAAACACTTAAGAACACACTAGAAGCAGAGGCATGTTTCTTTATATTTTATTTGAGCTATTTAATTCTTAAGTATCAAGAATTAGGGTGCTTTATAGAATATTATTACCATAGGTAAGTGAAATGGGCATCTTCTTAAGTGTAGTGCAAGTCATATTAAATGAAAAGCTTTTAAAATAAAGTTTTATTACCAGTACTGACCAGCATTCAATCCGCTGATCTATAGCTGAAACAATGGTCCAAAAGCACAAAAAAATACTCTCTGAAATAAAGCTTTATGTACAGCACATGTAGAGCTCTTAGATGCCTAAAGCTATTAGTTTAATTTGAAACTGGATGGCATGGTTTTAGTGGGAGATGTCCCTGCCCACGGCAGGGGGGTTGGAACTTAAGGATCTTTCCAACCAGAACTATTCTATGATTTTATGAAATATTAAATTAATGTTCCAAGTTGCTCTTCACAGTTGAATATACTGGGAATTAAGTGTTCCGATGACTTTTTTTTGAGTACAAAAAAGTTAAAGTTGTCCGCTTTAGTTATAAAGAGCTCTGCCAATATACACAAACTATACACTTCAGACAGTCACAAAAAATGTGAGCAAGAAAAGGGTTATCAAAAGACATTTAATACAATTAGTCAATAACCCTTCCCACCGTGGTCCACATCTACAAAGTTTTCCCACTCCTCCCCCCTCCCCATCCAAACCCTTCCCCGCAGAAAGTCACATACTTACCACAATTTTTAGCAAGTATGGTTTAAAAAAAGGGCCCCCATAACTGAACTATAAGCTCAGTTGCCACTGTCAACAGATCTGGATCTTGATCTAGACCTCTGCCGATCCTCAGATGACGGAGATTTAGATCTACTGGAAGAACCACGTTTCTGGCTTTTCTCTGGCACTGGAGATCTGCTAACTGATCGAGACTTGCTACGGCTCCTACTCCTTGACCTGCTGTAGGATTTGCGGCTGCGGGAGCGGGAACGACTCCGAGACCTGGATGAGCTTCTGCTACGAGACCGTGACCTGCTTCTGGACCTACTGAGAAAACAGAAGAGCATTGGTTATTAGCAATGAAACATCACAGACCACTACCATAACCAGGCAATCACTGGTCTCCCGTTCAGTTGCCTGGCCACGGACTTCAAAGATTTCTTCGTTAACACTTAAGCGTTATTTAAGAGAACAGAAATCTGTACCTGTGCCTTTTGCTGCCTTCAATTAGTTTGATTTTCCTTCCATTAATTTCTTTACCAGAAAGCTTTTCGATAGCATTCTTTAAATCACTGTAAGAGGCAAATTCAACCACCCTACAGGGAAGGAAAAAAAAAAAAGAAAAAAAATCAAGCCAAAATAAAGCACAGATCTCATTATCACAAGTGGCAATTTTGGTGATAGAGTAAAACATACCCTGGGAAAAATAAACAGCTCAACAACTCAAAGAATCCCTCACTGCCTAGTGTACTCATTCCTTCTTGTAACTCAAACAGGAAATGAAGAATTCCCCTCCCAAAATACAAGAGAATGTATTTTCAAAGGGTAGCTAAATTAAGCCAAGAACAGCTGCTAAGCACTGGAAGTAGCCAGCTTCCCTCCCCAAGTACGATACAAACAGTACTCTACAGCTTCCAAGAGGTGTTGTTAGAGGCTTACCCTTCATTTAACTTAGGTCTGTGTGCATCTGCAAAGGTTACTTCCCCAGCTTGTCTCATGAAGTCTTTGAGATCCTAACACAAGACCAGTTATGTTATGCAAAGAAGTGACATTAACACTTATCTATACAAAACCAGATAAACCCAAAAGAAACTTATGACTACTGGAAGAGAAGATGTTAGATAAATTACAAACATGGCAACTGCCATACTTGTATTCTACCAAAACTGAATTATCTCAATCAGGGCACGAAATAAAACAGCATATTGCTTTAAGCAAAATGCTAATAAATGATCTTAAAATTAAGGAAAACATTAGTCTACAGAGACTATACAGATTAAATAAGAAAGAAAGAGAAAGAGAGAGAGAGAGAGAGAGAAATCAAGTACATTTGTATATATAATGGACTGAGTGTGAAATACCCATAGATTTTTGAATTATTTCAGCCTCCATTTACATTACAAGTCTTACAGGCATACAGAATTACATTTATGTAACACCAATTATTTTGTGCCCCGTATGTCATTAAAAATATAGTTTACTTTACCTTTATTAACAATTCCCTAGGCTAGCCAAGCAGCAAACTGCATTAAGCGACCGGAGATACCGTCATGATTTATGCCCGACTGGCTCTTCGCCACCCACTTGACGAACACTACCCAGTCGATGGAAGCCATTAATCGCACTGCGCTCCCTTATTAGGAGACTATTGATGGATCCAGACATTCGCTATGCTTGATGTTACCAAGGACCACTTTACTGCGATCAGGATTCCAACGACCACCTAATTTCGTATCTTTCAACTCTTTTCGACCAGGACCTCTTTATTCGGAAGCGTTACAGGAAGAACAGCTCTCAACTTAGGAATCAGATCTCGTAAACGCTCTGGGATCGCTGCAATGTGGCACTTTAAGGAGTGCATCGATTACGTCTAGACCGGCAAACACAGATCTAGAGGTGGCCATGTGACATTGTAGGAGCTGACTGGAAAGTCAACCAGGCCCAACCAAGAGTGACCAAGACAGAACGATTAGGATAACCCACAGGCACTCCTCGTCATAAGGCCAACGACACAGATAGGCTGGCAAATAAAGGGTTTAATATGTGGTTAAAATGGATTTAAATAAACAAGAATAAATAAATATATATCCTCAAAAATACACATTTATTATTAAAAATTAAAATTAACTAGTTAAAATTCAAAATATGTAAATTGCATTAATTAAAATTACATTAATTATATAAATGTTTTGAATCCATTAGATTTAATTTTAATTAACTATTTACAAAATTATTACATTACATACCCATTAAATGAAGTCAAAATAGTTAATCGTGTTTCAACAAACCTGCCAGCTGACTCGGGATGACAAATTTTCTACTATGAGACGATTTTCTGTTCTTACAGGTGGAGCATTTCTGTTTGGAAATAAACAGTTGAGGCTTTTATTAGTAATTACAGTGACCAGCATCAGCATATCACCATTACTACAACTCAGCTATTAGTGCCCCAAGTAATCTAAAACAAGCATTAAATACTCTGAAGAGAGAGCATAAAGATGACAAGCATATCTGAGTAGTTTTGTAAAAAGACTAAAAAGGCAAGTACCTTTTCATCTCTCATTCTAGCTCATGTTCTTGGATGAGCTCTCAGATGAGCCCACAGTATGCTTTTTTAAACTATGCCAGTTCTAAGCCATACATACCTCCTGTCACTGCGTGGACGGCGGCTACTAAAACGGTCAGAGTACCTCCCTCTGCCTCTACCCCTAGAGCGTGCTCTTGCATGCTCGATTGTAACCCTGAGGAAAAAAAAGAAACAGAAAACCGTGGGTTTTTTTACTTTTTTCTTTTTACATATTTCTTTAATAACAGTCACTGGAAAAAGAAAACTCAAACAAAACAAAAAATTATGTTAAACCGTACTGATAACACAATACAAGTTTAAATTGATCTACTTATTTTAGATATGTAAGCTTATATATCCACGAAATGGGGTACCTCACCTCTCACTACAAAGCTCTTTTCCATCCAGTTCATAGACAGCATCATCTGCATCCCTCGGATCCTCAAATTCCTGCAAAACCACCATAGCAAAACCATGAAAGTAAAAAACTACGTCTCCAAGAAATTAACAAATGCTTATTTGCCACACAACATACTTAGCTGCGCACGTTAAAAGCACTATCTTTAAAAGTAACCGTGCACATCACACGTGCATGAGATCCGAGTGCCGACCAGCGGACGGGGACCACCGAGCCCCGCAGAGGAGCGCACTCACCACAAACCCAAACCCCCTCTTCAGATCGATGTCCCGTATGCGACCGTATCCTTTGAAGAACCTCTCCACATCCTTCTCCCTGGCAGCCGGGTTCAGCCTCCCGATGAAGACACGGCAGCCGCTCATGGCGGTGTGCGGCGGAGGTCACTGCGGGAGACACGGCGCCCAACCCGTTAACGGCCCGGCCCTGCCCGGTGACTCAGCAGCCAGCCCCCCCACCCCTCTGAGCCCACAGCTCACCCCCACTCCAGGCCAATAGGAAGGAGCCAAGTAGCCCCCGCCTCAGCCTGCGCCAATCGGAACCCGAAGTCCGGAAAACAGCCCCGCCCACAACAAACCGACGCCCACTGCAGTCGCAGGCCCCTGCACGCGCATGCGCGCTGCTCCCCCAACCCACACCCCCCCCGCGGCAAGAGAAAACAACGGACCGCCATTGCTCCGCCACAAAATGGCGGCCCGGGCCGCACCCAACGGCAACGCCACGGGGCCTGCTCCACGAAGAGCACCACAGTGAAACAGAGCGACAGGAACACCGGCCGCGCAGCCGGAACTCCCTGCGCCACCGACCCTGCTCCCCGACGCAGAAGCGCTCCGAGGGGAGCCCTCCCGCGCTGTTACGAACCTGGGCTGCGGGTCTCGGTGTGAGCCGAGCCGGGCGGACGCGAGGTGGTCAGCACTCGGCTAATGGGCAGTTCTCTCCTTCCTCCCCGACGTCCAGCTCTTCACTGTCGCACCGCCCCGCAGCAGCGACGCAAAATGGATGCGGCCCTGCGCGTCACCGCCGCCCCACGTGACTGTGGCACAACTTGGCGATTGGCGGAGGCGGCGGCCACCCCCCTTCCCCCGGGAATCTAGGTCAGGGAGGGGGTACCGGCCGTGGGCAGTTGGTGTGGTTCGGGGGTGGTTGCCGGGCAGCACGGCCGTTCCGAGGCCCTCGCCGGTGCGCGAAACGAGGGTGGCTGCTGGTGGTCTGGTTTTCAGCCCAGCCGGCCTGGGTGAAGTAACCGGTGGTGGTACACTAACGCTGCTTCTGTGGGTAGACAGCCGACAGTGACGTTAGTGCTGGTCTGGAGTGTGAAAAGCACAGGGTGTCACTTCATACGTTTATGGAATGTTTTGGGTTGGAAAGTACCTTAAGGGTCATCGAGTTCCATCCCACCTGCCACGGGCAGGGACACCTTCCACTAGATCAGGTTGCTCAAAGCCCCATCCAACCTGGCCTTGAACACTGCCAGGGATGGGGCAGCCACAGCTGCTGTGGGCATCCTATGCCAGCACCTCACCGCAATAAAGAACTTCCTAATATCTAATTTGGGTCTTTCAGCATAAAGCCATTCCCTCTTGTCCTGTCCTGTCACTGTGCCCTTACAAAAAGAAAGTCCCTCTCCAGCTTTCTTGTAGGCCCCCGTTAGGTACTGAAAGGCCGTCATCTGGAAACCATTTTGAGAAGGCAGCGAAAATACAAACCCAACCTGCTTTTCAGTGTGGCATTAAAACTGATGTGACAGGTTAAACACAACCGCCAGGCTCTTTCATTCATATAGCACGTAAGGGTCTAAAAAACGTGATGCACTTGTGTGCCAGGCCGGCACAGGAGTGGGTAAGGTCTTGCAGGAACAGGCATGTCTCTCTTGACCATGATGAACAAAGAATGAGAGAAGAAAAATAGACAAGGAGCACTTTATCTATTTGCATCCTCATTTGGAATCAAGTGTGTAATGATAAGGTAGAGAGCTGAGCTTTGTTTCTATTTAAAGTAACTGCAGAATTTATCACAGCTTGGCCGTAAAGGCAAAAGATTATCCCAAGGGGCATTCAAGATGCAGAGGACATCTGGAAGTTGAAGATACTCCCACTGGTTTTCTAATGCAGATGGAGGTTATGGCTCTGTGACTGTCATTGCCAGATTTGCACACTGCTTTGGCTTTACACAGCTGGCAATTACAGCTGCCTCAGGTTGACCTGAGGACAGTATGACCCTTTTGGCAGCATTTTCCTGACTTGCCTCCCAGAGCCCCATGCTGCCTCAAGTCCTAATCTGTACCTGTTCCCCTTGAGGACTATGAAATGCCATTTTTGTTGCTTCCAGTGTCTGTTATTACTCAGCTCTATGGGGATGATTTTCTCTTTTTCATGCTTAGTCACTGACTTTCCCATTTTCCCTGGAAAAACAGCACACACAGTGCCACCAACTTCATAGCTTTATACAGCTGCCCCCACACGCACTCCTCAAACTGGAACAGCATACGCTGTTCGGGAATGGAGAGTTATTTCTGCTGTGTGCAGAATGCAATGATGAGAAGGGCTACAGTGTAGCTAAAGGTTTTGCAGGAGCAAACTGCCTGCTTTTCTATTGGATCACAAAGATGCGAGCTTCAATTCGGAAAGGATGATACACAGGTGGGAGAATATGCAGTAGAGGGAGGACTCTAAGCAATGAAAGATAACACTTGTGATTACCCCTGTGGATCGTAACCTTTACCTGCCGAGGAAAATACATTCATGTGTTAACATTTAACACTGCTAATTTCATAATGAGTTACAGTGCTCTAACACATGCCATGGGAACAGGCAGTCCTCTTCTGTCAACACTGCGGCTCTTCTGACTGCAGTGAGCTGGTTCACAATGCTAAACCTGCAAAAACTAGCCCTGGAAAAGGCAGCAAGCAGATTTCTACTAGTTTAACTCCCTGGAAAACAGCTTGTAGTGGGATCAAAACATGGGTTAGCACTGGACAAAGAAGAGAGGAAGGGACAGGAACACCCCACTAAGGAAGAACTGTTCGTAATGTTCTAAACTAAAAGAGGGGAGATTCAAGCTGGACGTGAGGAAGAAATTCTTTACAGTGAGGGTGGTAAAACACTGGCACAGGTTGCCCAGAGAAGTGGTGGACGCGCCATCCCTGGAGACATTCAAGGCCAGGTTGGACGTGGTTCTGAGCAACCTGATCTAGTTGAAGATGTACCTGTCCATGGCAGAAGGGCTGGACAAGATGACCTTCGAAGGTCCCTTCTAATCCAAACTGCTCTATAATTCTATGATTTTTGCAGTATGAAACTGCAGCATAAAAAGCTTTGACCATGTTACTGGAAGGCAGTAATCTCTCTGCATCTCATTTTCAGACCACTGGGAGAAGAGAAGAAAAAGTCAGGAGGGTGTCCAGGAACCAATAATCTCTCTTTAAAGTGTTTCTGTGTTACACAAAGGTGTTTCAACCATAAAGGTCACACACTCTTTTACTCACATTGGTTTACGAGGTAGGTAGGTCATGAGCAGGCACATGTGTTTCCTACCCAGTTTCTCCAAGTTTTATGTTCATGGGAAGGAGTATTACTCCTTTTGGCTCAAGGCTGTTTGAAGACCACCTAGACTTGCTAATATTCTTGCTGCTGGCTAGTGTCCACACTCCTACATTCCTTACAACTCTGGGCTGCTGAAAACAACACAAGCAGGCTGAAATCCCTCTAGTTAGTTCATCAAGGTAACTAGGTAAAGACAGTCGCTATTTGGAAGCAAAAAGGGCATGAGGCAGCGAAAGACTAAATGAAAGCTGGCATAAATTCCAGCTTTCCTGGAATTTGTGTACTGCTTGTGGAAGAGTTGATAGGGACTAACTCTTCACTGTCTCTTCCAAATACAAAAATTAGATGTCATCAAATTAAACTAACGAAGTCCAAGTTCAAAACATGCAAAAGGAGATGCTACTTCAACAACTGGTAGTAGACCCCTGGCATAACTTGCTGGAGGATGCTCTGGATACAGGAATTTTATACGGGTTTGCCCTACGGACAGCTTTAAACCAGGAAGGAGGAGGAAATGGGAATTAAAAGGAGCAGCGAGATAGAGGAATAAAAAGAGGCTCCAATTCAGAGACTCTATACCTTCCGTTGCTGAAGACCCCCTGGAAAAAACACTGCCCATCAGATCCAGTGTAGGCTGCTTGTATAAGCCATATAGCCAAAGACTGAGCACTTGCCCAATTCTGCAGCAGTTCTTTGAATGCAAACAAATGTAGCTACCATCCTCTTCTGCTGCTGGTGAATATATTTATTACTTTCACTGTAGTTCTCCATGGTAAGCTCCTCTAACTTTCTTTACATTCTCCTTTTCTGTACCCTGATTTACCTGTACATTCTCTGTCCTTTTCTCTAAGGCTCTGTGGACTAACATATTCTGTTACTGCTAGATTAAGTGTAGCTCTGCTAAAGGCAGCAGCAGTGAGTGCTGATGAGCTACTCTGCGGAAGTCTCAAGGAGATGGCAAAAACTAAATAGATAATTTAGTATTTAAACACCAATTGCTTTGCTCCAAAGCATTTGGAGAAAGCAAATGGAAATTTACCTAGAAATAATACAATAACAGACATTCAGAAATAACTTTGTCACACACATTCAGCCCTGCCTGAAAGAAAATGAAATAAAATAAAAACTGAAAAAAGATTATTTTTTTTTTCTTGCTGGGTTAATATTTGAATCATCAGAACAAGTTTGCAGCAGTTCAGTGTATTCACTTGCAGTTGCTGAATGCGAACTGGTGAGGAAATCTTACAAAGCTGAGAGCGAGTTGTAGACTGATACAAAACTATTTTACTGGATCAAAGCTATTTATTTGCCTTCAGAGGCAGAATGATGTGGGCTTCCACAGCTGGACCTTTCCTGAAAGATCCCGAGCCCCTTTCTGTTTTAACTCAATGTTACATGTACCCCCAAATGCAAGCACTGCACTCGTGGCTATGGTCTGCCGCTACATTTCCAGGCAGCTCAGATATCACATCTTTGTTTTGAGAATCATTCTTCTTTGTTTACATAGACCCAGGGACTAACACTGGCAAGAGATTTTATTTTCAGCAGACAGCAGATTGCAGACACTGAGCATGTCATGTCATCTTCACCTTTTGCTTAATTGAGACTCAGTGTTGGTCTTAAAAAGAGCATGAAGAACATAGGCCGTAGGAGGGGAAGAATAGGATGAAGTTCACATATTCTCAAGCACCCAGCATTTTAATCCTTAAGAAACTCCCTGCAGTAACTAAGGAACCATCCCTGAGGAATCTCTAGCACCATCCCCAGTGCCTAACGTCCTGGCAGTGCAGTGATTTTTCAGCTAGCAGGCTCAACTTCAAAGGTCAGAAAGCTGTTCGAACAAAAGATTAAATCATCAATTTATAAGCACTTTCATTCAGTAAACTGGTAAACTGCTCATGCCAACAAGGCAGGCAATCAAGAACAAGCTGTTTTAAATGAATCCAATACTCCTTATTGGAATAATTAAGCTAGTGGGCAAGGGGGAAAAATAGAGATGTGTGAAACCTGACTATAATAAAGGCTTTAATCTATTTTTCTTAAGCAAACAGGAAAATGCCAAGGTAAAATCCATTGTAAGCTGTAAGCACAACTTTTTCAGAGTTTGCATTCAAAATACCTCCTTGACAAACTTGGGGACAGCTCCTCTGGGGAATCAGGGATCTGTTCTTAGTACAGGACCATTCAACATCTGCATTAATAATTTGTTAAGCAGATTAGAGCATGTAATGTTAAAATGTGCAGATGAATCAGCCTGGGAAGAGTTTTAAATGCTCTGAAGTCAAGAACAAAAAATCAAAATGTGTCTCAGAAACCAAAGGAGTCATTCAACAAGATGTGATTCTGCAGGAATAAGGGCAGGCTATATTTAGGAAGTATCCACCAATACAAGATCAGAAATGCCTATTCAGGAAGCAGCAACATCTATAAAGGCTTGAGCTAAAGCGGATCACAGTCTGAAAATAACTC